ATTGCAGTGCCTTGTTCATTGTGTCTTGGGCATGAGAGCATGTTCTGTCTGATCTTTAATTAGATTGTCACTTTGCTGATAATTGTAGTATTAATTACACAGCAGTGCAGATGTTTCCTTCTTGTAGTTTTTATTGGCTCAAAGTGAGCACAAGCTTTAGTTCAAACAAAGGTGAGAGAGTGAAATTCAAATGGGGCTATGGTAGAATGTGCACTAGAAAAGAAAAGAAGATAAAAGATTTGGCTGTTTGTTTAGTTTCCTTTGAAACCCACCGGCATCTCTGCTCCTGGTTTGACACTTGCAGTCTAGAAACTTTCCATCTGTGATGAATGGGACCTCTGCCTCCCATTGGGAGCTTAAGCAAGCTGTGGTAGACCACAGGAACCAATGGAAATACCTCATCCTATTTATGCTGGATCACATTTCACCATTTCTGACAGATGGGCCTTTGGGGAAGAATATTAACGGCCATGGGGGGACAACAGTAGTCATTTGTAGAAATGTGCAATAAACAGCCAAGAAATACTTCAAACAGATTCTTTAGGTCATTGAATGCTTAAACCCCCAAAGATGCTTTTCCTGTGGCTAGTAATGTATATGTGTCTGTCCCCTCCCCCTGTCTCTCTGTGTGTGAGTTTCTCTGTCTCTCTGTCTCTCTCTGTCTCTGTCTCTGTCTCTCTCTCTGTCTCTCTCTCTCTGTCTCTCTCTCTGTCTCTCTCTCTCTGTCTCTCTCTCTCTCTGTGTGTGTGTGTGTGAGAGAGAGATCTAACATATACATATACATTAGTTATGGTAAGGGTTAATTCTTGTAGAACTCCATCTGTTGTTACAACAGATACTCAAGATAAGGAACTCGTAAAGAGAAGAGGTTCCTCTGGCTCACGGTTTTGGAGGTCTTGTTCTGTGATTTGTTGACCCATTGCTTTTAGGTGAGGAAGTCCAGTGTGGTGTTTACATGAGGTAGAACAAACCTCCCTCAGTTCACAGCCCAGAAACAACAGAAGGCAGAGCCAGCATCCCACTACTCTATTTAAAGGAACACCCTCAACAATTTATATACTTTCAACTAGTTCTACTTCTTGCGGGTTCCTCCATGTACCAATAATCCCACACCACAGACCTTTAATACCTGGGACTGTGGGGGACAAGCCATTCTAGGTGAAGGAACATAATACACTAAGACCAAAACAGTCTTTTAAGACTTATATTACTCTATTTCTCTCATGAATGGTGGTATTATTTAATCTAATCATTATATGATTTAAAATGCACACCTGTTTTTTCCAATTATAAGCCTAATGAATTAGTATCTCACAAGAGACTGTGAAAGATGCCTAGGGTGAAGAGGACATGAGCGACCCATCTTCAAGGGGTCCCATATTCAAGTGGTCTCCCAAGGCCCTTGCCAATTGGTAGCTCCTATGAAAGATTTAGAGGCCCCTCTTGAATGGAGACACAATAGTACCCACAGCTGGAAGGCTCATTCCTCACACAGGTAGTTAAGGATAAAGAGCGATATCTTCCAACCAGGAAAACCAATAATTCTTTAAAACAAATAAATCCATTTTCTCCTAATTGACTTTCTTCCTGAATCTTATATCTATCAACCTAAAACACTAAAATTTATGCCCATAGTAATTCCAACTAGAATAAGATAAAAAAAATGCATAGTTTTGCAAATTGTTCAAATATGTCCAGGCCATGGTCACCCCTACATGCTACAGTGAGTCCCAGTTCTTCTAAGACAACTGATGACTCAGAGAAACCCCTTCTGGATACTTGAGAAGCCTCATATTTTCTCAGATAAATTACATTAGAACCAATAGTTCAAATCTTCCTCAAATATTTTTTCTGGTTTTCAAAATTCTTACAGTCATCTGTAACAAAGAGTAACAATTACTCCTCAAAGCACTGCCCCAGAATTATCCTCGCCCTAGTGAGAGGGAAATCCCAGAAACTATGTGCCTGCAGAGGTATGAGACATGTCAAAAATGTGAAGGGGACAGGGCGTGCCCATGCTGATGCTTTGGATTCTGGTGACAAGGTTCAATGAACGAGTCTCTGTTTCACCAGTGAAAGGTATTTGTTTTAAAGATCATAAGAACAAAGTACTTGGTTCAAGAGGAATTCCACTGAAGCAAATTCTTAAGAACAAACATTGTTGAAGTTGAATCGAGGCTCATGGTTTAAAAGAGTGCTGAAATATCATAGGGAAAGCTAGATTTTTATCCCTGAAACACAGTTTCCATACAGTTGAACAGCAGGTTGTTCTAAGACAGTAATGCATTCATAACTGGTATTTTAATGACAGACATTATAGCAATGTTTCATAAGCAATAAAATGCAGGAAATGGTAAAAAAAATTATTAAGAAAATGTATGACTGGCAGGATCTAAATGAATGGGAACAAATAAAGAGTGTAAATTCCACCGAAACACATCATCTTGGCAAGTTTTGGGTCCCTTTAAAACTGTTCTGAAGGAAAAGATCTAATCATTACAATTTAGTAGATCATACAGTAAAATGAGGAACAGTTAAGGAGGCCCACAAGGGGATGCTAATACA